AAATCGAGCAATTTTACCAGCTTCTGGTCCATGGGTTACTGACGCATTCTTCTCGCCTTCATCTTCAATGAACTTCTCTTCCCTGGGCGATGAGGAATAGGCTCGCGAAGAAGTTTGAGAACTGGAAACAACTTTTTCAGATGAAACTTGCAAACTGGAAGAAAATGTTTGCGTAGCTTCCTGCGACAGACTGAGAGAAGCTATTTGCGACAAGGATGGTGAACCCTTAGACTCGATTGATGATGCAGATAGAGATTCTTCTCTCACTCGCGTCGTTCTTGGACGCGAACTGATAGCCGATGAGTAAGTCTGCGAAGGGAGAAACTATGTTCGCGATTGCGAACAGTGAGAAGATATTCGCGATTGCGAACTAAAAGAAGCCGTCTGCGCGTGCGAACCAGAAGAAATAGTTCGCGACCCCTTCCGCGATCTGGTTAGTGATCTGTGATGCGACGGGTCAGATGTTTGTGACTTGCTTTGCGAACGACCTGGAAGTCTGTTTTGTATATCCTCGATGCTAGCTTGCACAGCTATCATCATCGTTTCCATCTTAGCTTGCCTATCTGCCAACTCCCTCTGGTTTCTTGCCATATCCGTCATGTTTCTCTCCACTTCCGTAATACGCCCTTCCATCTTTGCGTGCGTATATCTCACCCAGCACCGACGTGCTCTGATACCACTGTTAGAGCTATCTAGGTATTGAGAGGATTTACAGAAAATTATCAAGAAATATCAAGAACAAGAACTGTAAACTTTATTGATGAAGAAGAGTTCTGGCCGAAGCCCCCAAAAGAAAGAGACGATTAATCTCTAACTTTCCCAGTCCAGACTACAATAGTCAAAACAGCCTGCCTCCCCTTCCCAGACTAATTCTATTTATAGACTTCCCATACAGCCTACTCTAGTTATTATTTAATAACCGAAATATAACTACAACTAACTCTTCTATTTATTAGTCTAATAGGTAGATCTCTATCAGAATACAACTCCATGGTGCCGAGTCTCTTTTTAAACCTCCAACTCTAGGATCTGATCTTGCTTAAAGTGGCTCTCATAGTGGTTTTGAGCTGGTTATTTCTATCCTCAAACCCCTTTATTTCAAAGAGGTTGCGTTATGAAGCCCAAAAATGACCTTGGACAGCAGGGTGTGATCTGAGATCTGAGTCACGCTGAACAGACGACATCTCTATCTCTACCGGTGTTGCTTCTTGTCAAGTCACAACTATTTATTCTCGCGGCAACATCCTCTCGATTCCTAGGCCAATGCTCCAAACAATCGAGTTGCTTCTTGAAGGGAGAGTTACCAAACGAGCCCTAAATCAACCAATGGTCAAGCATTCATTCGTTTGTGCAGTAACCACAATGAAAATTAATCTCCCACTGCACCGCATCATCATAAAGTGATCACTTGTCTTCCTCAAAAGGATACTCCCTTTTCACATATGAACTTTGCATTTATTTTCCTCTTTTCCTCCCAAAGCCCCACCACTCAACATCTAATACTCAAGACCCCCTGCGGATCAAAGAAATGAGGAATAAGTAGTATTGTAGTAGTGGTGATGGTAATAAAGATGATGATCATAGTAATAATAATACTAATAATAATATAATAATACGGAGTAATAATTATTATATAATGAAAATAATAATAATCATAATAGTCATAATAATAATAATAATACTCCCTCCTTGTTTTAATGATTGCTACAATAGGTTTTGGCACATTATTTAAGAAGAAAAGTAGAAGGGGTAATGAATAGTGTAGAAAAAGAGTGTAAAAGTTTAAAAGAGAAGATAAAAAGGTAGAAAAAATTTAAGTAATTGAGTATTTTAAAGGAAAACTTACCAAAAGGGGAGAGTGTAGCAAACTTTCAAGTACATCCCAAAAAGGAAAGTCTGGCAAGCTTTAAAATGCGGAGTAATAGTATATTAATAACAATAACAACAACAATAATAACAGCAAAAATAATAACAATATTAACAGAAATGCAAGATAACTATGGTCAGCAATTTGATTTCCATATAAATGACATTGAGCAAAATGATCCAGAAAACTTACTGGCAAAAGCATTTCATGCATTACCAGAACATAATCCAGGCCACTCAGAAAGGGGTGGCAGGGTGGGGGTTCTGGAGGAGATAATACGTGAACTACAACTTTCTTTCTCCTTAGCTTCTGAGTTCTGGTATATCTCCCGTGTCCTTCAAAATGTAAGTCAAGTCCCTAATCACTTCAAATATCAAATCTGTTTGTGCATGAGTATTATGTCCCATAGAGAAGAAGTGTGCTTGTCTTTGAACCTCAATCATGCTATGACCAGTCTCCTTTTTAACACCCGACTCTTTCATAACTCTCCTGACTTCTGCAACATTGTTCCACAAACCAAATGAGGCATAGGCATTAGAAAGGACAACGTACTTCCCGGCGTTCTCCGGTTCCAGCTCAAAGAAATTCATAGCAGCGAGTTTAAGCATGTCCATATTTCCATGAATCTTACAAGCCCCAAGCAAAGCACCCCATAACACAGGGTGGTCCTGATAGGGTGAGTTTTTAATAAACTCATAAGCCTCTTCTAACCTCCCTGCACGTCCGAAAAGGTCAACCATAGCCGAATAGTGTTTCCCACTTGGTTGAAGCCCATAATCTCTCGTCATTGAAGAAAAATATTCTCTACCTTCATCTACTAACCCTCCATGGCTACAAGAAGAAAGAACTGCAAGAAATGTTACAGTGTTGGGTCTAAAACCTTCACTGACCATTCTATGGTAAGACTGTAGCACCTCCACTACCCTACCATGCTGCCCAAATCCAGAAATCAGGGCAGTCCATGTTATGACATTCTTCTCCAATGACTTCTCAAACACGAGATAGCCATCGTATGGACTACTGCATTTGAAGTACATGTCCATAAGGGCACTATTAACAACTAGGTTTCGACATATTTTCCTTTTGATCACCATAGCATGTGCTTGCTTGCCCTGTTCCAAAATAGACAAAGAGGCACATGCCCTAAAGACCGATGAGAAAGTGTATTGGTCGGGATTCAAGCCATGTTGTTTCATTTTGTAATAAAGGCATAAGCCGACTTCTTCCATTCTATACTCCACATACCCTGCAATCATTGCATTCCAGGAGATGAGGCTTTTTAAGTTTAACCTATCAAATATATTGTGGGCAGTATCCATATCTCCTGACTTTGCATACAGGATTAACAGTTTGATTGTCAGGTATTGGTTTGGGAGAAACCCGACAACAACCATTTGTGAGTGAATTCTTCTCCCTTGCTTGTATGCTTTCGTAAAAATGCATTCCTGCAAAAGAAGGGAATATGTTTCAGACTCCACTCGCAGTCCGTTGCGGCACAATATCCCAACTGCTTCCCTCACTCTTCCTGAGAAACATAATTCTTTTAGTGTTTTATCCCAACCGTACAGATTCTTTAGAATGTCACCCTGAAAACTGTGGATATAATCAATAACTACTCAATGTTCTTTCATGAACAAAAAAAACTCCTCCGGTATACATTGAATTATTTCTATAATAGCTTCCACAGGTATCACTAATACAGAGCAAACAATGAAGATAGAAATGAATTTGTAATTAACAAGAACTCAATTTTAATTTGATCTTTCCAGCCACATAATGTATCAGTCATCATTTTATCTCTATAACTATAATACTCTTACCGGATAATTTCCATCATTTCCGATGGAGCCAAAGACTCACTATTTTTTCGCTTGGGAGCATGATGGAATAAAGCAAAATGGCTCACTAAACTGTCTGCGCTCCTTTGTTATGAAGCAGAAGTCAGTCCATGCAATTTTCAACGTGATTTTCATTTTGGGTCATCCGGAAACAGTCTCTTTGTGCTTTAGTACAGGGGTAGGGCTACATACATCCGATCCCCCCTTACCCCAGCGTAGGTGGGAGCCTTTGCGGCACTGGGGTAATGATGATGCTGATGATGAATACTATTACCAGATAACTTTTCCTATTATATCATGGGTAGTGGATTGTTTCTTAATGAATTAGGCACTAGACCGACTTCCAATCAAATATAAAGCTCCAACAAATAAACGTATATGGATAATATAAAATTTTGTGTTAATAGAAACTGAAAACTATATTCTGTATTTCTTATTAGAATGCAAGCAAGTTACAAGACGTTCTTTTCTCTAAAAACTCAATTTAGATATCAAACTCAATACAAAGAACATGAATGGAGATGCATATGTCTATGAATTCAACATTCAACAATACCGAGTGTTTTTTAATCACCATAATTCCTCTAAAATGAACTATTCCAATCAAACATAAAGCTCCAATCCAAGATTTACTACACCCAATACGAATACGTAGTATGTGACCAAAAATAGACAGAATTTGAAATGTAGCAACAAGTTGAAAGTTTTCCTAACCTGCTTGTGCTGGTATCAGGCCTTATTGTGTTCAGTAGGGTGGTCTTTTTTCCAGCTAACATAGGCCCCAAAATCATACGAAACTCTCCACAAGCTGGCTGCAATGAGTGGGTTCTCAAGCTCCGAACTTGATTGCAATTTGATATTTCTAAATACCAATATGAAGAAATAGATATATGTGGCTTAACAGTTTGAACATGGTACAAGCTCCGAAGAGGCCTGAAAGTGGGTTCTTGAAAGATGAACTTGAGTATTGCTGCATCCACTGTCACTTTCATTCTTGAACTTGTTGGCAAGTATATGAAGCTGTGTTGGGAATCTGGGATATATAAGAAATTAAGAAATTGCTCAGTGTGTATTTTGGTGCGACACTAATTGAAAAAGAGAAATTGATTTACTGGGTGGGCAGTCTACTGGTGTTGCCTTGTCATTTGTATTTTTTAAAATGAAGTTACCCATTCTTTCTCCACATTATATGTTAGGTTTCATTTTCCATTGTATATGTCAAGTTTCATTTTCAAGAAAATTGGAACATTCACTTCGATTTGAATTTTGAAAAATTAATGTCGCATAAATAGAGGAAGAAGCATCATGGATTTGAGTACAGAAGGTAAAATGTTTATGTGGCTTTTACCAGTCAGAAACCACAAGAATGCATACATCAAGGGAAGCCTTGGGCACTTATGTTGAACTTGGCAGAAAATGTTAATTTAATAAAATTATATGAATGACCAAAACGTCAATAGAACTACTTTCTACTACAGTGATGCATGCTACATTTTAACAATTTGTAAGATTATAAAGAGGTAAACATCAGGTAGTAGATTGATAAGAGCGGTGGTGGTTGATTTTATTCTAGTTAGATTTTAATTCCTTACTTAGCCAAGTTAGCTTATCTGTTTTAGGAAGTAGTTATCAAGGATTTCCCTTTTCCTTGTTTTATGCATTCAAATGCATGTAATACTTATTATAAAAGGGAAATTTGCTATGTGAAGAAAATATTCAAGACAGAAAGGAATCAAGGAGAAAGAAAACTCCTCAAATTCCAAAGGAGAAAAACATCCCTAAATCTCCACTGACCCCTTCCTGTTTATCATTTTAATAACACACCCCCGTGACTCAAAGAATCCCGATGCATAACATAGAACTGCACTAGACGGGTCAAGGCCTCTCAGGGCTTTGAAATGAAAAAATCATCTACAACAGAATCAACATCTATAATAAGACCAAGTTCTCTTTCGATATAGTGTCATAAAGTCAGATAATCTTTGTATTTGTGCCCGAGTATCATCTCTAAAAGTGTTCCTTTATGTTGCATCTGTACTAAGAGCAAGGACTCTTTCAATATAAAATGAAATGTTTTTACCTCTTTCATATGTTTTCACTAGTTTGGAATGTTTTTCCTTCTTGATGGATAAAATAATAATATACCTTTTCAGTTTTTTGCCAAATGTTTTAAGCAACCAGAGAGTTATTTGTGTGTTCAGACTTTCTCCCTCTAGTCTTTCTGTAGAACAACCCATCACAAATCATTGGACCAGAATAATTCAAAAGGTATAACATTAAATATTAATGTACCTTTAGACCACACCTTATATTCCAAATACTCCGTATAGGAAGTCATGCTTTTACGAATCCCCAGCAGGAACTTTAAAAAAAATACGGAGTAATTGCTAATAATTCATAACATAGATTGGTATAAATAACAAACATAAAGAGAGGTTTTGATTTTCTGTACATGTAAGAAATGGAGAAACTTGATTGTACTTGGTTATTTAATTGCAGAAATATAGCCTTTTAGTCCACTTAAAATGATAAGGTGTATGGGGGTATTTGGAACTGATTCTGCTTCTGCTTCTGCTTCTTTTTTAAAGCAGAAACAGAATCATAATCAGTTTTTAGAAGCTGGTCACCCCCAGCTTCTAAAAAAACTGATTCTAGGAGTAAATTTGAGTACTAGAATCACTTCTACACTTTCACACAAACATTCCAACTTCTGCTTCTGCTCCCTGAGGGAGTAGAAGCAGTTTTAAGAATCATATCCAAACACCCCCTATGTGGCATATGGATAGATCTATTGTTGCTCTTTTTGGAATGTCTTCCTCAAGTTTTAGAGAGCATGATTCAGAACAAGCTTCTAATTATTCATTGACAAATCTTTTATCTTGTTTCTTAAATTTACATTTGATTGTGTTTTCCTTATTCCATTGCAGTTATTCTTCATCTACTTTCACTTGAGTAATTCATTCTGCACTAAGAGAATTAACGGTATAAATAGAATGAGGTAGATACTCATAATGAAACTAAACTAGATAACAGAAAATAAACCTTATGTTTAGACAGAGATCTGGAGCTGCGGGCCAAGGAACAAAATGACGGGAAGGGGGTTGGCAACGGGAAATTAAACACTAATATATACGGAGTAAAATATTTTGATTTCATTTATTATAAATTTAATTTAATGGCAATTTTTATGAAATGTTTCTCCAGAAAATTTTATTAATTAAGATAGTACTAAATTTGTTTAAATATTAAAAATTTGGTCCCAGTTTTCAATCACTATGGCCCTACACCATTTTCATATTTCGGTTCAGGTAACCCCTATCTTCTGGTTCCGGTTATTGGATTAACAATGCATATAACTTTTACCTGAGATATAAAGAAGGAAAAGAAAAACATATATATAAAGAAGAAGAAATGGAAGATGAACCCATACCTACGATTGATGGCGTTCAGAAAAGAGGATTGCACCAATGACCGATGCTAAGCTAACTTTAGAGTCTCTTCTACTTGAAACATGGGTCCCCACTCTCTACGCGCCTAAGAAATTTTTTGAACCAACTTCACCTTGTTCTTACACTTCTACCCTGTTTTTAAGAGAGAAAATATGACCAAGGCTGATGCATCTCCACAGCAGTCTCTTGGAGGTCCGGGCGGAGCTGTATCTGTTGTTGTCCAGGTTTGATTTGGAGTTAGAATGCTGATCATTCATGCCTTCTTGGTTGCGACACAATGGGAATTTTGAATCAAAATGGCTGAAAGAAGGATAGCTATTATCAAAGTAGTACCTTTTTTCTTTTTCAGATAATAGCAATATTGAAATTATTCAAAACTTCAAACAAACTAGTGACGTTTAAATTTAAAAAATAAAAACTGATCAGGTTGAGTCCGACAAAGTTTGAAGCTTGATCAAGTTTGAAATTCTGCCAGGTCTAACTTGGTCGACCAAGTTTGAGGTCAATCAAATTTAATGTTCAACCAAGTTTGAAGTTCTACCAGGTTTGACATGTTCACACTCCACATGGGAATGAAAACAATAATATCGCCTGATAATTGTTCGATCAAGACTTTTCATTGAAGATTTGAAGTCAAATATGAAAAACACCTAACATACTCATATCTTCTTTACGGGTTCATAGAATGATATCGCCTCATAATGACATCACTGGAAATTTTCAAAAAGATATCTTTTTCAAGGATGTTTTTCTTCTGTTTTTAAATAATCTATTTGAAGCTTGTGGCCGTTACAATTGTTACTGAAAAATCTTCAAAAGCTTCTACTAAAAAAATTCTTATAGTATATCTTGACCAACCTTTGTTAGCTTTTTTTACTCTACGAGTCTACAAGAATCTGCCACGTCATACAAAGTTAGAAAATAGCAAAAAGGTCCTCACAAGTATATTAGAACAATAGGATTAATACTAACAACAGTAAATTGCATTAGTACTACACAATGAGATTGTAACATTGTACTCACAAATCACAATCACATTAATACTATTAACTTAACACTTAAAATCTAAATAATGAGATTGATTTTGACAATGATATTAATGCTAATTGGGTTGATTGATTAATATTAAACAATGGGATTAATATCTTTAGACACAAGTCACAACCACATTACCAATTGCCCAACCGTTCAACACAAATTGCATATCACACAATTGATTTATGCTAGCAAACTTTCTAAATTATGCACGAAAATGCCTTGCACAAATTGAGGTCGAAAAACTAGGCAGATGCATTCTATGAATATAAGGTATCAAAACACACACAAAAAAAGGAAAATAAACTTTGCATATTTAGCCGGAAAAACAAATTTCAAATTCTTAAATCTAACTAATTGAAATTTCAGAAAACTGCAATTTACTAATTGAACAAACACCCGTAGATTAGTAATGGAAACTGAAATTTATTCTGAAACACATATCACAAGAATTCACCAATTGAATCTGGAAATTTTTCTATTTTGAACATAATATGGAATTTAATTTTTAATTTAGGCTTACCTGTCTGAGTAGCGAGTCAGAAAGACAGAAACCAGAGTATTTCCGGCGTGCAGGTGCGGAGGACGGCGGGCCAGTGTGCTGCGCGCGGTAGCCGGTGATGGCTCGCAGGGAGGGGGGATTACGGTAGCTGGCGCAGTCTGCAGACACGCAAGATGGTTGTCGCCACGTCAATCGTGCTGAAATATGGAAGTACTAGTATTTGTACCCGTGCCGTGCACGGGATAAAATGATTTTACTTTTTAGTTCTACTAACGGAAAGTCACTTATTTAGTCAATTATAATATTGTTTTGTAATGAATATAGGGTGTTAAAAATTATTTATCAATTGCAAAATAATATTGTTTGGTCCATAAATTGAGAAATGTAACTTTTCCAACACTAAAATTCCAAAAAAATAAGGTTAAGAGTAAGAAATATTACATAAAAATCAATATATAAATTATTACATCAATTCTATATATGTATTTTTACATTTTATTTCCAAAATTTTGGGTGTTCACATACATGAACACCCTTGATCAAAAGAGATATGTCCCTGACTGTAGGAATAAGTCTCTCATAGCAATGGTAATTGACTGTTGGTATAAACTACCGTTGAATGAAAATTTGTTTCTACTATCTTATTTTTGAACCAATTATCTAAACATATTCTCAATTTATATATTTGACTTTTCGAATGAAAAGAGCAAATTGTTCTATAACTCTTAGTTGCATCTAAATGAAATTGATCTTTTCAACTATCTTTACCTAAACATAAAAGAATGTTCAATGGCTATTTTTATCTATTAAATTTCATCTGTGGTTTTTTTTTCAAAACTAACTTCACATTTTTTTGTAATTTATTTATCTAAAAATGGGTGTAGTCAATTTCTTTTTGAATATATTAGCCTTTCTAGATTTTAGAATTTCGCAAGTTAGTCCTTCGATCTCTTTCTTTAAGAAAAGAGTTAAGAATATATAGTTTTGTGACATTCTGATTTTAACGAAGGTGATGGCGGTGACAATAGGGTAATTAATTATTGTGATTGGTAGTAATATAATCTTTTTATGTAAAATAAGTATTATTGATCAAAGAACGGTTGCATGCTTTGAACTTTTGATAGACCATCTTTACGTAGAAGGATAGATGAATAAAACTTATAAATAGATTCAATCACATCAACTCATCAAGAGGTAGCTATAATGAAATATATAAACATGTCAACCTATGTAATGAAAAGAAACATCCTATATTCAGAAATAAAAAATGATCACAATTTTCATGACCTATTATTACTGTATTAAAATTAAACTCATGAGTAAAATAATTACTTCTATACACACTATAACTTATTTATCTAGCTCTTAAACAACACTTTTAGTGACAGGATATAATTGTCATATACGTGATCAATAAATTTTTTGAGGGATGGAACTCTCAGTGAAAATATATCGAGATTATATTAAAATATAATCCAAAACTTTTATACACACCTTTAGTAAAAAAATAACTTTTACTTTCATAAGTGAGATAAAAAAAATTGAATCCAGTTGAAAATATCATTAATTGGAAAGGTGAACATAAATTTGAGATATCATTAATAAGACATATTCCTACTGTCCCTTTTTATTTAGCCAAACACTATTTTCCAAGTTAATGATGTTAATTTTTTACTGAGTATATATTTCTACACAGTAATATTCATAATATGAAAATGATATGAAAATGTGTTTGTTGAAAATGATATCATAAAAGTATAAACTTCTTAAGGTTGACATAAATATATTAGTTAAAATATTGGATCAAAGTTTATTATCTTTGTCTGGAAAAGTCAAAGATGGTTAACTAAAAAGGGACGGAGGTACTATGTGTATCAGCAAATTTTAACACATTCAATCGTGCTATTTTAATTTTTCTCACTTTTATTGTAACTCTTTTCCTCAGTTTTAGGAATGATTTCGGAGTTATTAACAAAAATAATATAAGTTTAATTGATATCAATTAGGAGTGCTAAAAAAATTGTTCTCGTATATTCCACTTTCATTTTCGTTTAGTACTTGAACTTATTAGATTGAATTAAACAATTTAAAGAGTTAATGGTTTTCTAGTCATAGGATTATGATTTCCTCCCATCTCACCTTCTACATCTTATAGAGTACTACTCCCTCAGCATCATTTTGTAAGATATCTTTTCTATTCACATGGTCAACACAAATTACTCTTAATCTCTTACTTTATATATCAAATTTATATCTAATTGGATTGTGATTTTTGCGACTTCGCAAAGATTTTAATGTAGTTTCTGAATATGTGAATTTTTTGAAAAATCATTTGAGTGCGGACAGAGATTCGTTTGATTTATCGTGGGTCAAACATCGTAAACCGTAACGTATCTTACAATTCGGGACGGAGGGAGTAATTCTTTTCATTCACTCTACTTACTACAACTCTTCCATCTTATTGTGTATTTTTTGGTTTCCTTTCCACTTCAGTTTCAAATTTGTTAGTATACTTTAATCTCCGTATAAGACTTTAAGGTTTCATATTTTCATGGCAACGATACGTAAGTGAAATAACTACTTTAAAATACATTAGTTCGGGTTACAATGTTATTGTTTTAACATGCATCATGTGTGTAGGGAGAAATGAGATTCAATCTTGACCATTGGACTGTATTATCTGAAATTGAATTGTGCATTTTATGAAATTGAAATGTGCATTTTATGAAATTAAAATGTGCATTAGGTGAAATTGAAATGTGCAGAATAAGACGTAAAACTCAAAAAGGTGCATTATGTGACATTGAAATGTGCAGAATAAAATGCATAAAAATAGCACCGCATCGTAGTTTTTATTCTGCACATATCAGTTTCACCTAATGCACATTTCAGATTCACATAATGCACAATTAAACTTCACATAATGTCACGTACTGTGTCATACCTTTTGTGTAGCACATTCTAATTTCACCTAATGCACATTTCAGTTTTGCCTAATGCTCATTCACTTCACATAATACAATCTAACGATCCAAATGCATTCTCATTTCTCTCACAAAATAATAATTATTCTCATTTCTCTAAGGGTGGGCTTCAGCCCATCCCCGATTTTTTTTAAATTATAGGTATATGTTTTTAAAATATGGTGTTTATCACAGCCTAAAATAATTGAAAAGCTCAATCAGAAGTCTCAAAGATTAATTCAAAATATACAACAAAAACAACATCCAAACGTTAATTCTAAAAGAATAAATATTAATTTAAAATGTAATTCAAAATTAGTCCTTGCAATTTTTAGGACATCATAATTTCATATACAATTAAAGATTAGAGAATAAATTTAAATACAAAAGTTTAACATGTTAATGGTGTATATACTTTATCCGTCACAAATTGATTTGCAAAGTTAGATTTTTTTGGTCATACAGTTCGATTTTATTTAATTAATTAGGATATCCATTTTTTATTACTCCGTATATTCTAATTTAAATTGTGCAACTTTATAGAGATTTGAATATAATGTAGTTTCCGAACATGTTAAAATTAATTACTAAATTAATTATCAATAAAGAAATTTAACTTTACTATTGGTTATATATATGTATATATATTCAAGAGATATTAAGATCTATTAGGATGCTTATCCTATAATTGTACGATTTGTGCACGTTGCCTTTTGAGAAAGTCGATACCTGAATTCATACTAAGAAAACATCAAAAATTTATGTTGTGATACATGTCCGGGCTTTCATGTTTGGGGGTCAGTATACTTGTTTTATATTCTTAGATATTTGATATGAAGGATGCCTATATCTATGTAGTAAAATATAGAATTATATTTCGTATTTCTAATTAAGATAATTGAGTATGAGCAATGTCTATATAATTGATAGTTACCGACAAAGTTATTATTATTATTATCTTTCGTATGAAACCGATATTGCATATGTAAAAATAAGAATAATCTAAAATACAGTTGATGGAGGTTCTTGGTGTCAAAATTTTCTTGCGTGGATCCAAGTTCTAAAATTAAGTGGATCCAAAATTTTATGAAGTGGCTCAAATCTAACACTTCAGGCAATAAATAAAATTCCTCCATTAATCGTATATTCAGATTTATTTTTATATATGCAATATTTGTGTCATACGAAAGATAGTAATTCATTGTGAATTTTGTAACATTTTTTGGTAAAAATAAAATTATAAAAATTTAAAGTTATAGCAATTTCAAAAATGATATTTTTAAGTTGACCCTCCCAAACATGTAGCTTCTACTTTCTCCTAGCTTGCGTTATCTATGTTTTCTGATTTTTGAAAAAGTCCTAACCGAGTTACGTTGTTTTATTGATTCAATTTGAATTGTTATTTTTAAATAAATGGTTTATAACTTAGAAGTTGTTCTCTTCGCCTGATCTGAATGTTTCTGATCTGAATTTTTTAAGTTCTGATCTGATCTGATCTGAATTTTTCTGATCTGATCTGATCTGATCTGAATAAAATAAGAATAAGTAATAAGTAATAAGAATAAGACGAACAGAACAGCACCTTAATATGCCTTTATTAACTCTTCAAGTCAATAAACAAAATGTCTCCTAATTGTAGCATGAAATTACATTATACAATCATGATATCTTAAATTTTAAAGTTTGGATCTATTTAAGAAAAGTTTAATTTGAGCCTAAAACCCCCCATCTATCATATGTTTAAAATTATTTTTATTTTTACATATGTGACATTAGTGTCATATGAAAGATAATAAAAAATTATGAAATTTGATATATTTTTTGTAAAAAGTTAATCACACATAAAAAAGATAAATCAAATTAAAAAATAAAGAGATTTTTTAATATTAAAAAAACACAGAGATTTTTTTGGTTGAAGTCCATCAATTTAGTGCTCGTATGAAAGAGAGAATTTTTTTGGTAGCCAACATAGCAGCTTAAAAACGTAATAACAATTCTAATCATAAACCAACTTAAATCGTAATCTCAAGCATTATATATAATTAATTGATATACCAAATTGGAAAGAGAATTTAAAAAAGACTTGCTTAGAAGATGACACATGGCAAAACTTTCCCTAAATGTATCTTTGAAATAGATTATCTATAGATACGATTTTAGGGTGTTTGCAACACCTTGTTTTAAAAAATTGCTTTTTTAATGAAATGGAGAAATGTGATTAAATAAAAGTTGA